TCTCGTCAGGTCTTATACAAATGATGGCTATAACAAGGCAAAACCACTGTTATAGAATAACATCAGTCACTCTCGTCAGTTCTTATACAAATGATGGCTATAACAAGGCAAAACCACTGTTATAGAATAACATCAGTCACTCTCGTCAGTTCTTATACAAATCAAGAATTTGAAATATAAATGATTGATCATTCAATCAACGCTAGTAAGTTGGTATTTTGGTAGATATGATTTTTGTATCTTTGATGTTTACAATATTCCACTTCAATATGTAGTGTGATCATCACATACATCAATGGCACTGATTTTGCATGCTTAATATGAGTGTTCATAAGATCACAAGTTGTCTTCGGCAATTCCTCTTAAGAGCTGTTCTCGAAGCATCTTCAGTGTCTAGATTCACTTAAAAGGATATGATGCGAAGTCACTTAGCAGAGAGTGACTCCTATCTGAAAAGCATCCCATGCGTGCCTAGTAGGCCATTCTGTTTGATCAACTTCTTGGAAAAACGTGTTGACTAGTTTAGAGAGATGAAAGTGGGCTTTGTCAGCCACTAAACTGAAGCCAGGACAAGTTATGCTAACATGTGGAAGCACCAAAAGTAGTTGGATGTAGTCCTATCATGTGTGGCATTAAGGTACAGTTACTTGTTCACACCATACTTTCACCACCAGCATATTTGTCACATTCTTGTATGAAAATGTGTTATTTGACTGTTATGTGAAGCACCAAACATCTGTAAAAGGAATATTGCTTTACATGTTATTAGTCCATTAGGTTTGTTCTTGGTATCATTGTTGTTAGTCCATTGGGTGCGTTCTTGGTACCATTGTTGTTAGTCCATTGTGTGTATTCTTGGTACCATTGTTATTAGTGCATTGGGTGCGTTCTTGGTTCTATTGTGTGTGTGTTCTCGGCACTATTGTTGTTAGCCCATTATGTGTGTTCTTGGTACTATTGTTGTTAGTCCATTGGATGTGTTCTTGGTATCATTGTTGTTAGTCCATTGGGTGTGTTCTTGGTATCATTGTTGTTAGTCCATTGGGTGCGTTCTTGGTTCTATTGTGTGTGTGTTCTTGGCACTATTGTTGTTAGCCCATTATGTGTGTTCTTGGTACTATTGTTGTTAGTCCATTGAATGTGTTCTTGGTATCATTGTTGTTAGTCCATTGGGTGTGTTCTTGGTATCATTGTTGTTAGTCCATTGGGTGTATTCTTGGTACTATTGTTGTTAGTCTATTGGGTGTGTTCTTGGTACCATTGTTATTAGTCCATTGGGTGTGTTCTTGGTATTATTGTTGTTAGTCCGTTGGGTGTGTTCTTGTTACTGTTGTTATTAGTCCATTGGGTGCGTTCTTGGTTCCATTGTGTGTGTGTTCTTGGCACTATTGTTGTTAGATGTGTCTGCTTGGGTTGTAAATGAAAGTCTGCCTTGTCTATGTGATAGTAATATTGGTTTGAAAGCAATTTTGAAACACTTGGAGCAAACTTACAACAGCCTGCTATAACTGGATGACTTCTGTGTGTCCGTTAGCTCTCCAGATGAGTAAAACATTCAAACATCTTCTCCGAGGCCTATTCATGGTTCATAAACAGTTTGGAATACTTTGAACTTTGTGATTCACTGAGAAAATGTTATATAATAGATCACATGTATGATCATCAGATACCTGATAGGATAAAAATTTGGTAGAGGGATGATTGATAATATTTTATAACAGTGGTTTTTTTATTGATACAGCTATAGTATTAAATATTACAAATTATAATTATCCTTTATTTGTATTTAAATTTGATCAGCCGAGTTCATGTTTTTTTTAAATATATGGTTTAAATATGTTAGAATTATTTAAGTCTACATATTAGGTGAATATCGAATATGTACAAGTTCGTATGCTATATCTAGTGTTTAAATATTTTTCTTAAATACTAAATATTACAGCATTATATTTCGTTGGTTTAAAAATAACCAAAATGCTATAAAAATACATAAACTTTTAACATGCTTTCTTGAAACTTTGAAACGTTTTGATATTTTAAAATGTAAATTAAAAGACATTGAAGCAAAAACTTAACAAAAATATGAGAGACTGACTTGCAAAAGACTCACTTTCTTCTACGCTTGCTCTTGACCGGATAGCTATAATGGCTGAATTCTTTTTCTCACAGTTGTTTGTTTTATCCTTGGCTATACATGTATAAATTCCGGCGTCTTCAACTACAGCTTTGTTCAGAGTTAAGTATCCACTCAAAATCTGAAACCGCGCATAATCCCCTAGTGGTTCCCCATTTTTAACCCACGTAATGTCCACATTTTGAGATCGAACGAAACACTGTAAATATGTATACTCTCCCTCTAGGATAGTGACATCTTTGGGTGTTCTGTGGAACTCTGAAATGACGATAATAGGATACTGAAAAAATTGGAACAAAAGATGAAGTCTGAGATGACTCCTTACCACACAAATATAACAATCCAAGAGAACCTGAAAGTTACCCATAAAGTTTTGTTTGACAGGAAATATGTTATGTTCGTATTAATCACAACTTATCAGGAAAGGTTATTTTAACACTCGTAGCAAGAATTACTCGAGGTTTTGTTTCGATACTGTTCAAAAAGAACTTCAATGAAACAAATCACACTTAAATTCAGCTAGAAAACTAAACATGAGACCCATAAATCTTCAAGATTTCAGTGCGAATAATCCAGAAACAAAAATACTAGACATCGTACAGGTTTGTCTTCTCCAAAGTACTTCACAAATGGAACACACTCAGCTGTGAATATTGTAAAGTCACGGCGAATTCTTTGCAAAGATGATTACCTATGTCACGAACACCAAATTGTATGTAAATAAGTATTATAATTAATCCGCATATCTCCAGCAGCCTATAGTCTTCTTTTTAACAAATTAATGCAAACAGAACATTTGAGCATCTTGCACACATTCAACACCACTAATCTACCATTTTTATGTGTCTGTTTATACTTACTAAGATTCTTACACGGCAGGTTGAGTGGGGCTTGTGCTCAAATGGGTTTCAAAGATAATTACTTCGTGCAGTGAGGTATTGCTAAATTTAGAAGTAAGGGGTCGCCAATATCTACCCCCCCCCCATTCTCTGACAGAATTAGTAGAATTAATTAGAAATTCGAAATACGAGAAATAATTTGCATTTGAAGTAGGGGAACGGGCTCCTGCTGCAGATAAAGTGAGGGTCGGAGCACTGATTAATAACGATATTTTTCTCAATTCTTTCAGAATATTTATGAAATAAATTGACAAAGTGAGCTCATTTAGTCCAGATTATTTTCCTTTGCGCGAAATTCAAAAACAAACAAGTGTGAATTTACAATACACAACATAAGAGGTTCTAGGATTTGACCTCTAGCGTAAGGCATGGGCAGTCTTGAACCGGTCGGGCAAGGTGTGGCTACCTGATACCCAAATAGCAGATTAAAGATACCCTCCGCGTCCAACTCAAACAATCGACCACATTATAAAATCATGTCCTAAACGACGCTTATCAAGAGAGTACTGGTACAGTCTGCACGAGGGCTATCTGCGCTAGCCGTCCCTAATTTAGCAGTGAATGACTAGTGGGGAGGCAGCTTGTCATCACCACCCACCTCCAACTCTTGGGCTACTCTTTTACCAAAACGAATAGTGTGATTGGTTGTACATTATAACGCCCCACGGTTGAAAGGGTGAGCATGTTTGGTGGTACGGGGATTCGAACCCTCAGATTGCGAGTCGAGAGCCCTCTAGCCACCCTAACACTTACTTGTAAAATGAGTGAATAGTAAAAAGATACAAGTATGTTGCAGCGAAATAAAAGAAAGAAATAATAAAAGGAAGCCCGTAAAAGGTGGTAACTTATACAAAACAACGAACGTCGAGACAGAAGGTGGTTTTAATTATCTAGAAGAAGTAATTAACAAAAATTGAAAAACAAAAGATACCGGCACTCGACAGATCCGATTCATGGCCACAAAATAAAGACGAGTGAATAAGAGCAAAAGACGCGTCAGTCAAAATAAACGTTTATAAATTAGAGGCATTATTTTTTTACCATTTAATAAAAGTTACTCTGGAAGACGATTTTCAAAGTATAACTATTATGAAAGATATGGAAAAGTGCCAAGTCCATTACTGGTGAATTCTTTAAACTATATCTTGTGTCGTCCCGAATCAGCAGTAAGTTTATGGGCTTACAATGTGGAAATCCGGTGTTCGATTCCCCCGGTGGAAACCGCAGATTACCCAATGTGGCTTTACGCTAAAACAAACAAACAGTTGCTTGGTCGGTTCTTAAGCACAAAGCTACCCACTAACTTATCTGTGCTCTGCCCACCACGGGTATCTAAACCCAATTTTTAACGTTGTTAGCACACAGACTTACCGCTGAGCCACTGGGGGCAAAACAGACAGACACAGTGTTCTGTTTTTCCTCTAAATTGTTTGATGAGAAAAAAAATGCAGCTGACTGATGAAAGTTTTTGTTCCACTAATATATTAAAAAACATTCTAGAATCTCACAAGAAAAGCAGATTATAAAATAGAAAGAAAGATAGCTCCACTTGACATCGAACCAGTTCAGCTCAAACTAACAGAAACTGAAGGGCAGCCTTTAACAAGCGTATTTAACAGGATAATTGCAATGTATATGGGAGACAGAAATATCAAGCTTTTC